TGCCACGTAGGCAGATGGGGGACCACATGGTGCAGGGAGGGAGATTTGGGAAGTATGAGTCCACCTCCAGCTCTTCCCTTTCCGAGACAATGTGAGGATTTACGGTTTCAGTGGCACTTGTCCCAGGGTTTGTATTACATCCTCATTTGGCTAGAAGTGTGGGGCCTCTACTTTTTACTCTAACATCCGGGGCATCCTCACGTGCATTCACTAGAGAACATGTGAGCGATCTCGTTGTGCACATCCTGTCCCGTCAGGTAGCACGGTGTATGGCGGATGGAGAACGGTGATTTCTAGCAATATCTACTACATCAAAACGCCTATAGAGTGAAAGAATTTAGAGACCTTTCAGCGTAGTTGCAGCTGTTTGTGTCACCAAAATAAGTGAATGGTTTATAATGCTGTTATTTTGAAAAGCGAACGTGACTATGATCATTTTCTCCAACTCTTTCTCCCAAGGTCTGTATGGGAGTGGTTATTTTAAAATAGCGTGTATCCTGGTACTATTTTAAAACAATGGCTCAGAAGCGGAATTTATATTAAAATGGTGATTTGCACAGTGTTGCCTGTGGTTTGTACTTGTGTTCCTCATTAACTGTGTAAGTAACAATGATTATTTCAAGTGCACGTGGGGTAACTCAGCCAAAAAATGACTTCAGATTCCTGCCCAAAATAGAGAACTTGATGGGCTCCTGGACGCTTCTCCAGAATCGATCCTGGAAAAGCTAGAGGGGAAAACGTGGGTTCCCAGAAGTAACAAGAAGAGGAAAAGAAGGAGAAAGGGGAGGAGAGAGGAGGCAGGCACGGGGGAGGAAGCTGATGGGGAGGAAGAAGGAGGGCCAGAGGGTGGAGAAGAGGCAGGGGAGGAGGGGGTGGGTGGGGGTGGGGGAGAATCTAAGACCTGCAGGCTGTTTTAAACCGACTGGGGGGGGGAGGGTGGGATGGAGCGTGTCTGCAGGCAGGAGAGGACGGTTTACAGAAAAGCAGTGTGAACTCCCACACAATTTTATATTCCCCTGCGGTTCACACTTTCATGTTTGGTTTTAGTGCAACTGGAAACCCTCTCCAGCCAAGGACCACCTTGTCCACATACGCCTCCCTTCACGCCACGACCCCTCCCAGCAGCAGAGGTGGGGGCAGCACACTGACTACCTTGCAGTTTTGTGTGACACTTCCTCGCCCTCCAGCACGCCCACCTGCCGGAAGACCTGCCTCCACCCCGGCACTGTCCTGTCAGCGGTATGAGTCACGTTCCAGCACAGGAAGTTGGGAAATGGACATTTCAGATGTGGCAACTCAAACGCGATCCTTAAATGTCCACTGTTCCAGCTGGTCGCCTGCTTTGTAAGGTTTCGGAAGGGTTAGCTCCTCTGTGTTTGCTGTGGCCTGTGCTCTGCCCGTGGGAGCTGTCGCCAGTGGAATCAGGCCACGTTTCCCGAATGTCAGTAGAGTTGACGAAATGCATGCAAGGGGACAGATTCGAATTTTTCAAGTACTGACGATGCTTGTTATGGCTACTCAGGAACTCCTTGCCAGGGTAGAAAACGAACACTGAAAAATAAAAAATCATGCCAGAGCTCGCCTAGCTGATTTCACGTTCTAGGTCAGGTCTGCTCATCTTGCCACTGGTAAAGCACGCGGAAAATTTTATTACAGATATTTTGCAGAACTTGTTCCTATTTACCCAGGGATGTATGAGAAGATAGACAGCCGGGACAGACATGTACGCATCAGTCCTATTTGTTCGCTTTAACGGTGCTTCCCGCGTAGCTATTGTGCTCCTCTGGATCGCAGGCCCAGGGATTTTTTTTTTTTTTTTACTGCCACTATCTTCCTCTGGAGCAGCACTGTCTAATATGGCAACCATGTGGCCATTTCAATTACAATTAATTAAAATTAAAAGTTCGGGTCCTCAGTCTCCCGCGGGCACATTTCCAGTGCTTAATGGCCACATCTGGTTAGCGGTGACATACGAGTGCGGAGCCGAGCGTCTCCGCCGCAGAGAGAGCTGCCTTCCCCGCTGCGCGGCTCGGAGCTGCGGAGACACCACGAGAACAGGCGACTCCGCACAGACCGCGGCACCGGGGCTGCCCTGTCGTCACTGCGCACGGGGAACGAACGGCTGGTCCGGGGGGCACCAAACTGGGATGTCAGTTCCTCGGGGCGTGCGTGGGCGGAGAAACCTCAACGCGCGACAACACGGACCTGTCTCGACGTCTCGCTTCCGTCTGCTGATTCGTTGGCCGTCTGTCTGTAAGACACAGCCACAGAGCCTCCTTGGCCCAAGGCCCTGGTGGTCTGTGGTTCGACGGCCGGCCAGCTGGTCCGGAACGAGGGGGAGCGAACTGGACCTCTCGGACAGCGGTGCCCCATCAGGGCTGGCTTCCCAGTCCCATCAGGGCTGGCTTCCCAGTTGGGAAGGAGGCCGAGATGCTAGAGACGCTGGTCCACCTTCACCGCGGTTCGGGCAGGGCCTCCTAAGTACTCCCGAGTCCCAGGCCCCTGCAATTCTAGGCAAGGAAATGACCCCCTCGCCCCTGGCCTGTGCACACCATTTCAGACACGCGCAAACTCCCTGCGTGTCCTGGGGCGTCACCACGAGCGTGGGAAGGGGGCCAGGGTTTTCCTGGGGAAGCACAGCTGCTCGGGAGCCTCCAGCGAGGCGTGCGGTGCGACGTGAAGGTGAGGCGTCTGCGCCACCAGGCGCCACCCCTCGTCCGCACGGGGGCCTGCGTGGGTTTGTGGGTGGGTTTGTTTTTGTGTGTGTAGCGGCGGCCGGGGGGTGGGGCCTGGGGGAGGCGGGCGCTGCTTCCTTCAATACGCAAGGCCCCTTCCTTGGGCGTGGCACCCTGAAGTGGCATCTGCATTGCTGCCGACCACCAGACGGGCCCCGCGGTGAGTGCACCACGGAGTCAATGCGGCTATTAAGCCTACGCTTAATTGTTTTCATGTTTCCTTTTCCGTGTTAAAGCGGTGCAACTGAGATGTGTGTGGCAAAGCTTTGAAAGAGAGAATCTACTGGTTACAGGATAAGACGTTTCTCCCAACGCACATTTCTTCAAATGCGCTGTTCTTCTACCCGTGGCAGCAGATCAATGGCTTCCACTCTATTCTGACGTTTCAGATCGCTGAGTCAGCGGTACAGTCAATAGTAGCTTAAGAGAATTAATATAGCTATAAAAAAGAAAAGCGATTTATATCCCTTCCGACTGCTGGATGATCACAGGTAATTTTCGAAGATTATTTCCAAGATGAATTTCTTCGAGTCTCCTGACATTTCTAAAAGTTACTGATGAGATTACTTGAACAGGTCAAAAAATATATACATTCTTTTTATTCACGTGATCTTTATGTGCTGTAACTACTTAGACCAAACCCACCCACTTTTTATAAAGACACGGGGCATATGCTTCCGCTCAGAAGGAGCCAGGTTTTAAGAAGCTGCACTGTGGTATCTTGTATGAAACAGAAAATAGACAGACATGGAATCCACACAACTAATGAAATATAAACAACCCCTCAAATCACAGTAAAGTGTTGGGAATATGTACTTATACTAAGATTAAAATGTCTACATTGAGTACAATTCCTATAATTTTTTCTCACTATGTGCACATTTTCACATAACAGATTTCACATTTTAATAGCGACGATTAAAAGCATGGTGATGTCCTTCATCATCCTAAAGAAATTATGACGAATTTCAGTAACAAGGACCCCTCCAGATTTCTCTTGCCAGATAACTTGTAATAATCCTAAATTCAATAACTGAACATCAGATGTCTGCTCAAGATTCAGAAATGTTTGATAATTATATGAAAACATTTAAAGACATGCTAGAAATAATGCAAACAATTCTTTTAGTGGGTTTTTTTTTCATAAAGGAAGGGAGAGGTTAATTTGAATTAATCTTTCTAAGCTACTTTGATGAATTCTTCAACTTGATCATTTTATCTTTTAACATAAATGTGTTCGTTACTAATTACAAATAATCCCCGCATTCACCTTCGGACACGACTGTGGCACTTTTTAGTTAAATGGGTCAAGCGCTTAATCTAGATGATATTTGGCCCAAACCTTTGACGTTCCTGAACCTGGGGCGATGCTCACATGCGTGCCCCGCTTTCCTGTTTCCAGGCCACGAAGGCGCTTTTGCTGATGAATACCCCCCCAGAGCAAAGCCGTGGATAACAAGAACCAATTAAATTGCAGACGCTGGTTAGAGATCAGCATCCATTTTTCAAATGAAATGTAACCACCTTCTCCAGTTAAGAGATTGGCAAGTTTTTTTTACAAATAACATCAGCGAGGCTTTTAGAAAGAAACACGGCCACATTAGCATGGAGCCATTAGGCAACACATTTGTTTGGAGGCCAATTAACCTTTTGCCCGGAAAGCGCCGGCACTGTAATGATTGCAGCGGCCGAGGTCGGCCCGCGCTGGGGCGCGCGTGTCGGCGGCTGCGTGCCCGACACGTGCTGCAGACAGCTCCGAGCCGCGCGAGCTCCTGCCTCCTTTTGTATTCCACTCCGCGTGTCCAGGGAGCGGCTGGTCCTGACCTATCCATTTTGGTAATTAAAGCCTCCACTGGGAAGCGTCCTGCAGGAAGGTGAAACCGGGGGTGGGGGGTGGGGGGCGAGATGGATGGCTGTTGCTCTCCAGATCCGGCCTCCAGTTCCATCATTTTGGGGGAACTGCCTGGAACAGGAGCGGGCTGCCAGGTTCTCACAAAAAATAGAGATGAATTGGGCACCAGACGATTCTCTAAGGCAAGGCGAGTCTGTCATTTTCTTTCTTTCGGCCTATAACTTAATCGTCAGCCAGGGTGGACAGCTCACACGGGGGCGGGGGCACTTTCTCTCAGCGCTTACCCACCGCCTTCCGTGCGCCGAGAAATCACTGCAGTTTCCTTACTCCTCAGCCGGGTCCGTTTGGCACCGGGGGACGCCCCCCCCCCGCAGGCCGGCGCAGCTGGCCCTCCCAGCTGTGCCCTGACTTACCTTCCACGCTATTTTGTTTCCTTTTGAATCGTGCTCCAGGGCAATGGGGAAGTCTCCACGCTCATAAAATTTTCGGAACGCTGTGGGCTTGGTTGGTCTCTCTCTGAACGCTCCTGCCGTGGGGGGGCCTCTCACCTTCAAAGGGAACAAAACAGGAATCAGATTTTAGACCAAACTGAAAAATGCACAGTGGAAAGGCTGGCTTTCTGAAGTGGCGGCTTGCAGAAAATATCCAAATGATATAGGCCAAATTCCTAATAATGGACAACAAAAATTTCACTAATATAAAATTATTTTATAATCACTGGTAAGTGTCTACTGTATTTCAAGCTACTTTAGTAGAAAATGTGACTTTAAAACATCGCTTAATAAGGAAGAAGAGCCTGATAATTAGTTTTAAAGAATTTTAATAAAGGCATCTAAGTTCAGAATGTTAAAACTTCAAGTTTCCTGATAATTGCAAATTCTAATCTCAAGTCTGATTTACTTGCTAGAATACTGAAGTAGTAGATTTAAATTACCTCCTTTAAATCTTTCTTCATACATAAAATGGTAGGATATATTCTCATGTTAAGATATTAACAACAACAAAACTGCAAAAATGTGATATATAATTTACTAATGATAAAGGACAAAGTTTAAAAAGAAAAATGATAGTCTACTATGCATGTAACACACATGATAATATGAACTTAGGAGAAAGTAACATTAGAATAGATTACACAAGGATCTTTCATCCCCCAAATTGAGATTTTTATTAAAGAAATATTTTATATTGAATCATTCATATTGAGTACATCTTTTCAATGTGTAGTATTTACATGAACTAACTCATTAGGTTAAAAAATTCAAAGTGATTAGTGAACTATTCAGAAAATTACAGTTCACTGAATTGTTCCTGACATGTGTCTTTCCTTGCTTAGAAAGAAGGTAAATATTAATCACTTATTAGTTTAATAAAAACATGATTATATCATTAACTCTTAATATGAACAAGATAGTAATTTATGTAATATCTTAATATTTTAAGTTACATTAATTTTAACATTTCCATGAAAAACTTTAATTTTAACAAAGAAATACATAAAGTATATGTAATATAATAAGTAGATCAGGTATTGACAAATATGTTTTATCTAATGTACATATAAAGGCAAATATGGGGACCTCAGTGGGAAATTAAGACACACCTCGTTAAGGTGATTAGTGCGGAGTGGAGTCGTGGAGGGCTGCAACTGAGGGCACTGCCTACGGTGCGAACGTTCTTCACCGCACGGCCCGCATTTTCGGCTAAACCCACTCACGGAGGGACCCTGTGTAGCAGCGCCGTGAGCTGGTGCCGTGCACAGAAGAGACCAGTCCCAGCTCCGGCAGCATAAGGAGAACCGGGCAGCTTTGATTACTGGGCTTTTGCAATGCATGGACCAGGGAGTAAATCTTGAATCACATTTTTGGGGAGTTGACAAAGAATTGACGACTTGTATTTTGCCAAGAAGTTCTGTTTGAAAAACAATGACCGTCTCCCATCGCATCCCCATTTTACTGTCACGCCCCCAGGCGTGGCAGAACGTAATCTGCAGACAGGACACTTAGCCTAGGCAGGTCAGCACACGCTCGGGTGTGTAGGAAGTTACAGTGCAACAGCGCACGTGTGTGCGTGTGTGTGTAAGCATGCACACATGCACTGCTATTGTGTAGTACTGATTACTGGTCAGAAGACATGACATTTTTACATTTTTTTAAAGTTAACCTTTCCCGGATGAAGAAAGTGTGGTATCTGCACCACAGAAAATGGTCATAAAAAAGGAGGAAATCCGTCTGCAAAGCATGAGTGGACCCAGAGGTGCAGTCAGTCAGACAAAAAGCCAGACGGCGCGACCTCACTCATGGTGGACACTGCCAGCGGCGACTTCCAGACCCGGAGAGCAGCATGGCGGTGGCCAGGGGCTGGGAGGGAGCGGCATCTACCCACAGTCTTTTGTCATTTGCTTTGTGATCTTCCTGATTCTTGGTGTGACACTTTCTGATTGATTTTCTGTTGAAACGTGGGCGTTGGTGTATTCTGTGACTCTGGACCCTAAACCTTCTGTTTCAGCTGGTTTAATATGACATCTCCCCAGCAGAGACTCGGGGAGGGTGCCACCTCATTACTGCCAGTGGGGGGCAGAGGTCCCGGTCCCCTGCCTGGCCCCTGCTGAGCTTCGTGGAGGGAGCTCCTCATTAATACCAGGTGGAGGCGGGGCAGCAGCACCCGGGGGCCTCCACGGACGGCTCCCCGAGTGCAGGGATGCCCGGTTCCTGCTCCCCGCACACAGGGGGCGGCCTCATGGCTGCTGGGTGCGGTGAAGTTCCTGACCCTCCTTGAGGCACCCTCGCACAGCACCCCAGTGGGGAGGGGGAGAGACATCTGTCTTTACCGCTCGTGCGGCGGAGCTCCGCTGACACTGTGGGGGCCCCTTGCGTGCTCCAGCAGAGATGAAAGGCCCAGTTCCTCCCTGAAAAATTCATCCGCAACTAGTATTTGGATTGCTCGTCTGCTCCTCACGTGCTAGCCATCCTTTTGATATTTTCTGGATGCTAAATTATTACTTATGCCGTCGACAGCCAGCCTCCCCCGCTTGTTTAACTGGCCTAAATATTCCTTGGGATTATTCATCTTTCTCCCTTCTTTGTAAAATGATCTTAACATCAAGTTATTCCTCCTTTTACCTCTTATCCTATATTCCAACCTCCCGAGCCCCAACTTCCAGTAATGAACTCACTTCTCTCTGAGAAGCCGGCAGGGTTTCCCTGAGTTGTCAGAGACGACTCGCGCTGAACGGGTGGCACCTGCCCGTGCAGTGGGGCCGTCACCTACCTGTATGCAGATGCTCGGTCACTGCATGTTTAGATAGTGTTTTCTTCTGCTCCAAATGGAAATGTATCCACTTGAACCTTCTAGGAGGACATGCTATTTTTTAAATACTCTACACACGATCCATTCCAAGTAATTCTACAAATCCATAGTAAAAACTCCAGGGAAACACAACTGACCTCAGGAAATGGAGTAAAGACTTCATTACTGGAAATCATACAGAAGGGCGTCACTTGACTAAACTTGAAAAAACAATAAAAATAACCTGTTCGGGATCCTTACGTCAGTCCCGTGTTTGTAGAACAATGGCTGTAAATTTTGTTGGATGTCTTAAGGATTGTACTCCAATTTATTATTATAAATAATACAGAGCCAATAAGGGGCCATAAATCAAACTGGATTTGTGGGGAAATGCAATTAGGATTCGCCTGGATGGTGGAGGCTATCCATAAACCAATTAGGGAGAGTGGCTGTTGCGGCAGAATGCTTTTAATAAAATCGAATGCACTTGGGAGCCACGGAGCTGAACACGCTCTGCAGCCAGCGTGGATGCCAGTGGGCTTCCTCCGCCCGCCTGCTGAGTGCGCCGCGGTGGAGGAGGGACTCACTCACCGTCTGCGTCAGGCGGACGGACACGAGACGAATATTCCGGGGGAAGGAATGGAAGGCTCTCGAAAGCTCTTTATCTTCCAGTTCAAACGTCTCCTTTTCCGTAGCTCTATTTTTTTAGCATAAATAAAGCGCTAAGAAAAATGCCTTTCCCTTCAAGTGGGAAACCTACATTGTATTATTCAAATTGGTCCATTTAGTCAATGCACTAAGAGCGAAACAAAGACATGAACTTCATCAGCTTCAACTGAAATTTGGACTCATGGGAGCGCAGCGGGTCAGCCACTGGGAAGCAAGACTGGCACGGCCTCTGAGCGGCGCGGGCTCTGGGGTGCGAGGCCCTGGACTGGCCCCTGGCTTCCCGTCAGCCTAGACTTCCGAGTCAAAAGTATTGTAACTCAGTGTCTGCCTCATCTGCCGGTTGTAATTGTTTTTACCACACTGTGAACTTTTGTGAGGCCTGAGGTCACCGAATGACCAGGGAATTGCTAGCAAAATATTGCACTAAGCGAATCTGACCTTAATGGTAGGTGCAGCTCAACATTAACAACGGTGAGCTCTTGGGGCCAGGTAGCTATTATAAGAAGCTTTAACAATATCACAAGTTAATGATATAACGAAACATTATGATAGCAATGTTCTTGTTAGCAATAGCCGGAAAAGAGTGAGGCTATGAATATTTATACAGAGACTACTCTGGAGGCCTTAAAAACCAGGCCTGCGGGTGAGAGTGGGTGGCAGAGAAAACTTCCAAGCAATGAGGGAAGCCTGTTTTAGAAAGATGATTCCCCTGAGATCTAAGAGCGTGGCCTGAAGTCAGGAGAATATGGAGTCACAGTGGCCAGTCTGAACTTGACCTTGGCAGTCTGAGCACGAGAGAGATGGCAAAAGCCTTAAGGTGGGGGTGGGGGCATCAAAAACAATAACACAATCTGCTAAATTGTGTCCATGGTTTTACACACATTATAGATTTCGACAAAACCCATATGAAATGATCTCACAAACAAGGAAATCAAAGCTCAGAGGCATTCAATGATCTGGCAGAAATCAGAGAGCTGGTACAGAGTAGGAAAGTGGTTTTCAGACAGTACAGGGACTTGGGCCCAGGAACAGAAGATACCGTGCGGCCAGGAAGCCGAGTGAGGACCAGGTGGTCAGAGGGAACATGGTATAAGCGACAGCGGAAGTGTCACTATCCCTCCACGCCCTACTCAAAAACGCAGAGGTAGCAGGATTTCTCTGCCTTCCATGTGCCTGCTTGAACCTGGCCCACATGCTCAGCTGCCTGCTGCACGACCTCCCCAGGGCGGTGGCGATGAGCAGTCCGCCTCTTGCTCCCACGACGCAGGTGAGAACACAGTTACCAGGCAACGCAGCTGGAAAGGAAGCCACTGGACCCTGAAATGGAAAATTCCGCAAGCCTACCTTTTTTTTCCCCCTCCAAAGCCCAACTTTTTCAGAGGACCTTCCTCCCCTCTGGGCTGCCTCCCTTGTGCTCAAGCATAAACTTCATAAAATCTGTCTGGAGATTTCTCTGGGGCTTCCTCTCAACGGCTGCCTCGGGGAGCCTAAGAACCTCAATGCTGGCAGCAACTTGCCCCCCAGTCCCTCTGCCTCCAAAGGAAATGACCTCTGTGACTATATTAAAGGGCTGGGTTTGGGCCAGAATCCA